GCTACTCCTACTGCTCTCTCCTCGTCTGACCATGTGTTCTCGCATACCCCGAGAGCATCTGGTCAGCGGGGTGGTGGCACAGGAATCCTCATCTCTCCCAAGTGGACATTCTCAATTTTTCCCCTGACCCATCTGTCTATCTCCTCATTTGAATTCCATGCTGTCACAGTCACTAGCCCATTTAAGCTTAATATCTTGTCATCTATCGCCCTCCAGGTTCCCTTGGAGAGTTCATCAATGAGCTTGACGCCTTGATAAGTTCCTTTCCTGAGGATGGCTCACCCCTCACAGTTCTGGGGGATTTCAACCTCCCTACGTCTACATTTGACTCATTTCTCTCTGCCTCCTTCTTTCCACTCCTCTCCTCTTTTGACCTCACCCTCTCACCGTCCCCCCCTAATCACAAGGCAGGCAATACGCTTGACCTCATCTTTACTAGATGCTGTTGTTCTACCAATCTCACTGCAACTCCCCTCCATGTCTCCGACCACTACTTTGTATCCTTTTCTCTCTCCCTCTCCTCCAACACTACTCACTCTGCCCCTACACAGATGGTAATGCGCCGTCGCAACCTTCGCTCTCTCTCTCCCGCTACTCTCTCCTCTTCCATCCTATCATCTCTTCCCTCTGCTCAATCCTTCTCCCTCCAATCTCCTGATTCTGCCTCCTCAACCCTCCTCTCCTCCCTTTCTGCATCCTTTGACTCTCTATGTCCCCTGTCCAACCGGCCGGCTCGGTCCTCCCCTCCAGCTCCGTGGCTTGATGACTCATTGCGAGCTCACAGAACAGAGCTCCGGGCAGCTGAGCGGAAATGGAAGAAAACTAGACTCCCTGCGGACCTGGCATCTTTTCACTCCCTCCTCTCTACATTTTCTTCATCTGTTTCTGCTGCTAAGGCCACTTTCTACCACTCTAAATTCCAAGCATCTGCCTCTAACCCTAGGAAGCTCTTTGCCACATTCTCCTCCCTGCTGAATCCTCCTCCCCCCCCCCCCCCCCCTCCCTCTCTGTGGATGACTTCGTCAACCATTTTGAAAAGAAGGTTGACGACATCCGATCCTCGTTTGTTAAGTCAAATGACACTGCTGGTCCTGCTCACACTGCCCTACCCTATGCTTTGACTTCTTTCTCCCCTCTCTCTCCAGATAAAATCTTGCGACTTGTGACGGCAGGCCGCCCAACAACCTGCCCGCTTGACCCTATCCCCTCCTCTCTTCTCCAGACCATCTCCGGTGACCTTCTCCCTTACCTCACCTCGCTGATCAACTCATCCTTGACCGCTGGCTATGTCCCTTCCGTCTTCAAGAGAGCGAGAGTTGCACCCCTTCTCAAAAAACCAACACTCGATCGAACTCCGGCGCGGCTCACTCTTGGATTGCGTCCTACCTGACCGGTCGCTCCTACCAAGTGGCGTGGCGAGAAGCTGTCTCCGCACCACGTGCTCTCACCACTGGTGTCCCCCAGGGCTCAGTTCTAGGCCCTCTCCTATTCTCGCTATACACCAAGTCACTTGGCTCTGTCATATCCTTACATGGCCTCTCCTATCATTGCTACGCTGACGACACACAACTAATCTTCTCCTTTCCCCCTTCTGATAACCAGGTGGCGAATCGCATCTCTGCATGTCTGGCAGACATATCACTATGGATGACGGATCACCACCTCAAGCTGAACCTTGGCAAGACGGAGCTGCTCTTCCTCCCGGGGAAGGACTGCCTGTTCCATGATCTCGCCATCACGGTTGACAACTCCGTTGTGTCCTCCTCCCAGAGTGCGAAGAGCCTTGGCGTGACCCTGGACAACACCCTGTCGTTCTCCACTAACATCAAGGCGGTGACCCGATCCTGTAGGTTCATGCTCTACAACATTCGGAGAGTACGACCCTGCCTTACACAGGAAGCGGCACAGGTCCTAATCCAGGCACTTGTCATCTCCCGTCTGGATTACTGCAACTCGCTGTTGGCTGTGCTCCCTGCCTGTGCCATTAAACCCCTACAACTCATCCAGAATGCCGCAGCCCGTCTGGTGTTCAACCTTCCCAAGTTCTCTCACGTCACCCGCTCCTCCGCACACTCCACTGGCTTCCAGTTGAAGCTCGCATCTGCTACAAGACCATGGTGCTTGCCTACGGAGCTGTGAGGGGAATGGCACCTCCGTACCTTCAGGCTCTGATCAGTCCCTACACCCAAACGAGGGCATTGCGTTCATCCACCTCTGGCCTGCTGGCTCCCCTACCTCTGCGGAAGCATAGTTCCCGCTCAGCCCAGTCAAAACTGTTCGCTGCTCTGGCACCCCAATGGTGGAACAAGCTCCCTCACGACGCCAGGACAGCGGAGTCACTCACCACCTTCCGGAGACATTTTGAAACCCCACTTCTTTAAGGAATACCTGGAATAGGATAAAGTAATCCTTCTACCCCCCCCTTACCCCAACCCCCCACCCCCCCCCCCCCCCCCCCCCCCCCCCAAAAAAAAAAAACTTTGTAAAGTGGTTATCCCACTGGCTATAAGGTGAATGCACCTATTTGTAAGTCGCTCTGGATAAGAGCGTCTGCTAAATGACGTAAATGTAAATGTAAAACAATTGACAAAGGGTCACCAAAATAATCCTCACAGTGAATGGGTTTATCCCTCATGTCTTACCTTTGGTTCTCTTTTTGGTCTTAGTCCTTAAAGACGCATAGTGAAATGACTGCAAGGAGAGGGAAGAGGAGAGGGTTTGATTAGAAGAGGTGTCTAAAGTACAGTACAGTACTCATATTAGGGGAGTACCATTAGTATTAACTGTTTCATATAATTGACTTTACCTTCCTCATGGATGGGCCTCCTTGTCTCTCGATGCCAAAACTAGCATACCTGAGGAGAGGGAAGATCAGGTGAGTAAGCATGCAACAAAATGGAGGCTAACACTCTTTATCTGGGGATAAGCTGATCCTGTACTGCTGTCAATGTAATGATACTATTCATAAATAAAGGGCAGAATTATAACTTCATATCTATGTGAATAAAATACTAATGCATATATTCCATTGACATGAATGCATGAGTTACATACATTAAATATTGATTTGTTTGAGTGTATCTCATGCTAAAATTTGTCCCAAAGAACTTAGTCCCCATTTCAGCATCTTTATCATCCCCAGGGCTGGCCTGAATTCCCATCTGGACATGCCTCTACTGACAGATGGTACCATGCATGGTACTGGAACATGGACACTGTCTGAAGAAATGGACATCACATATCATTCTCAATCTAAGTTTCACTACTTACTTTTGTGATATACTAAATGTAGATTTTCTACTGTATGTCAGTGTATTAGGTAAAGCAAGTGTGTGTAGCATGCAGTGGACTGGATGTGAAACACATAGCAGGTATCCATCATACTGACACCTTGGCTTTAACATAATTACTCTAACACTGAGTGAGGCCTTCGTCTATCCAAAAACTGAGTGCCGGTGCATCCATTCTACCAATGAGAATGAGCTAAAGCTTAATACATTTGGACAAATACTGTATTGCCTCCAGCAAGTGAAACAAGCGACCTAAACCACAGAGCAGGTGGCAGGAAATCCGGTTCAGACAGTCTCTGTGTCTCAGTAGAGCTCAGCACAGCACAACAGAAACCACTCAGGGGATGTGCTACTCATGCTGGCTATCTATGATGACCTTATTAGCACTCATCACCGTAACAATGGCTGCGAGGAATTCTCTACTGCCAGACCCACATTTTAGGACTACATGGTTTGAGCACCCACTGAACACTGACTATGGGTAAGGTGTTGAATTGGGTAGGATTGTAGCAAAATTCAAACAAAGCACAGTGTTTTTTAAATAGAACCAGGAAATATGATTTAGGTCAGTGAAAGGTTGAGGAAATATGTTCTGCTTGGCAACCCTCAAGATTTATGTTAAAATGTCCTTCCCTTGAGGCCTATTGACCAATTCAATTAAAGAGATGCTCCAGAGCTTTTGTATAATTTCAGCCAGTAGTTAAGCAAGTAGTGCTCATGAGCCAAAACTGGTCCCCAAAAATCTTCCATAATTGTGTAGTACATCATCCGTTTCGTATGATATGATACGTCCTGCAATTTTTAGCAATTCGTATGATATGTTACAAATTCCAATTCGTACAATATGTTAGGAATTTGTAAGTGCTTAAGATCCCGGACTGCATCTTTAAGTTAATACATTGTAACAACACACTGAAGGCAAAAAGTCCTCTCTACTAGAATAATTAATATGATGGTATGCAGGATGACGGCAATTTACTTCACTCACAAGAAGTAGAAGTGGGTAACTAATACAAAGCATTCACAAGATAAAGTATCTATCAGTGACATGTTGATAGTTTATGAAAAGCTCTCAATTTACTTCAGAGGAAATGATACCCATCAAATTAGCACAACTAGCCTCCATAGGTTAAGCAAAAAAGTCCCACAAATCAATTTCTGAATCAGCAAATAAATCCATGTTCCTCACAAAACCATGGCTATATTTTCTGGCCTTGAGTTGGCCTGTCCCGTTGATCCCCAAGGAGAAGAAATGCTCACTCACCTGTCAGTGTCAGCTCTCAGTGTGTCTCCAGCTCTCTGCGGAAAGGTAAAGAGCAGATTAGCGTATCACAGAAAGAGAGAGTGTGAGAGAGATCACAGCACACTGTCATCTCAGAGGGTGGCCTGGGTTTCCTGTTGTGACCAGGCAGGCAGATCAGTAGCTCAGGGGTAGGTAGAGTCCCTGGGCCCAGGCAGAAACCACGGGGTGTCTGGGGTTGTGGAAATAGAGGTGGTATGGGTGACACTATTCTGACTCACTTCTTATTTAATATTGATCGTGACCTCAAAAAAGCTTAACCCACAGAAACATGTCACTGCTCTGTGACACAAATATGTTGAACCTGCATTATCAGACCATTATGCCACTATGTCTGAGTGTTAAGCTATAATATCCTTCTTGAACTGGTGCAGGTTGATAAAAAATAAACAGTAGCTGTGCTGACTCACGTGGTACATTGGCACAGTGTTGCTCTCAGGCAGTGAGAAGGGCAGGCCCTCTGGGGGTCCTGAATCCAGTCTGACAGGCGGGGCCAGCAGGGATGGGCTGATGGGATAGCTGGGACTGCTGGGGTTGTGGCTCTTCTTGCGGGAACGCCGCCCAGTGTCCCGCTTGCATTCCCTGGACACGTCCGGCTCCTCCTGGATTACTAGGATCTTGTCGTCATTCAGGTAACGTAGCAGGGAGTTGTCTGAATCTAGCAGAGGTCAGGGAGGGAGAGAAAGAGGGTGCAAAGTTGTGTTATTTGGAAGCCTAGAGAGGTAATTATTTGTTAATTAGGAGGCCCAGAGTGCCTATCACATTCAAATGCTTGACGGCAAAACAAACTCTTACCAAGGGTTTAGTGAAACAACATTTGGAATGGAAAAGAAAGTCAAAGTGAGAGCAGTCCTGAGGTAATGTTTCCCATTCTCACAGACCAGCATGTTTCCACAGAAACCAACCTCTGTTACGTGACCTCCCATCAGTGAGGGCAAGCCCCAACAGTGTGTGGTTTCAGAGCAGAGGGAGGCAGATATGTTTTTGCACTTGCTATTTATAACACAAGTCATGTGAGTGAGATGCTATCACTACAGCCCACTCAACATAACTGCTATACATAGTCTCACGAACCTAAACAACACTGAAATCAGCCACGTGCAAAACAAAGATTAGGTTTTCAACTGAATTAATGCCTGACATGAAGATGTTGTCTCTATTTAGCTGATTGAATCTAATTTTGTTCAAATAAAATTGATTGAGCTTCTTGTGATAGCTTCATGAAAAGAGTTCTAAATGCGCAATCATGTTTCTGTCAAGATTCTGTGGTAATGTCTAAAGAAACCAGTGTATGTGTGGCAGTTCCAGTGAAATTAATAAAAGGTTACCAAAGAAGCAGACGATTAGTCATGTGTTATTGAAAGTGGGGACTGTGATTGGTCCTCATTGTGCGTCTGTACTTTGCAGACGCAGTGAAGCAAAAGCTATTTCCTTCTCTAAGTCAAAGCATTTAAGGGGGGGACTGGGGAGACTACCTGAACTGAAGGACCCACCTCTGCTACCTCTCTTGTACATATTTGGCTCCTTTGTCTCTGCCATCCAGTTGTAATCCGTTGGCATGGAAACTGGCCTGAGGTCACCTGGAAAGAAGTCCAAGTAGCATGTCAGCTGAGGTGTGAGTGGAGAGAGAGCTAGGAGCTGAGGGAAGACGGGGGGGGGCTGTCTCACTGAGAGGGATAGGAGAGGGTGGTGGAGAGAGATGGTGAGAGAGGAGTGGCTGTGCGTGGGTGGATGTCTGCATGACAGAGGTTAAAGTGCAGGCAGGGCAGTAAGGGGTATAAGAGGAGTAGGTGATAGCATGGGAATCCAGTTGAAAATAAGTCATCTTTAGAGTGAAGGGAAAATGGTAGGCTTGTTGCACGTGTGTGAAAGTGTGAGCATGAGAGTCTGTGATGGAGCCTTGTCATGGCACATGGTGCCTCCACAGACTGGGATGAGCGGAGCATACCCTGCTTGGAGCCATTATGAGCTTGGAAGCAATCCACCCTCACTTCCCTGGCAGGCTGTTAACATGAAAAACACTCCGTCTGGCAGAGCCAAAGGGATTTATCCCTGCACCACTACACACTGTACAATACACGACAAACTGAGCCTCAACAGAGCCTCAACAGCCAGGAGGGGGCTGAAACAATGCATCGCCATCTCTCTGTCAGATGGACGAATAGAATACTGTACATTATCAACGGCTGGCAAAGGCCTCCTTTCCTTGTCTCAGTGTTGGCAGACAGTGTGTCACTCACAAAAGATTCCAGAGTCATCCCATGCAGTAATGTGAATGAGCTCATTATGTAAAGTGCAGACAGAGGTGGCATGTAGAATATTCATCCTGCTGCTGGCCATCCTACAGCTGCAGTGCTGATGATGATGAAGGGGAAATGACAGGGGAAGGGGCCGTCTGACTGTGGGGGTGGGGGTGGGGGTGGGGTGGGGCTGGACTGGACTGTAAGAGGGAGAGGTTTATGTGAAACATAAATACGCTGGGGTGCATAATAATAATCTCTTCTATGCATAGCAATTGCCATGGGGCTTTACTGTACGTTCTCCACGTGCCATTCACAGCTGGATACACTGTATGATAATGAGCTTAAATGAAGGCAGGCGAGGGGAGCTACCCGCCTTGCCTGGAATTCCACCCTTCAATGCTCCTCTAACATTACACTACTGCCCAGAGGGAAAAGGGTGGTTTGTTGGTAGTGCTACATATCTGGGCTGTGTGACTCACCATGGGTGGGTGTCCTGTCCCTCCGCCTGACCCCCGTGGAGCGGCCCCTGGTCTCGTACTCCTGCCCCAGGGCCAGACAGTCCTCCTCCACCAACGTGAAGTACTTTCCCCCATCATGGTCCAGGTAGAAGCTGGGAGACTCCGAACCCTTCATACCCATCTTCTCCAGACTGTACTTGTTGATGTCATCGCAGGACATGATACCTATCTCGTCTCTGTGATTGACAGGTATGGTTATGGAGAAGATCAGTCAGGTACTACAGGACTAAACAGTGAAGTGAACAGTAGCTGTATGTATGGCTCACCTGTGTCCATAAAGGCCAGAGACTGGGGACAAGATGAAGACGTCATGGCCACTGTCCAGCGTAGAGGACATCCCCATGGTCCCCATGCTGTTGGGTGGGGTGTTGGAGTCACTGTTGGGACTGGTGGGGATGGGCTGTAGGGACAAGGGTGGATTCATGTAGACAGCAGGACTGTAGTAGTATGAGACAATTTCCTAAATACAATAATTTTTTATTAATGGCATCGTACGTCAAGATTCATGAGTAAATTCCTATAGAACAGCGTACTCCATGTTTGAGCTAATAGAGGATTGTGGTGCAATGTTGTGAGCTTGTGTCCTAGTCACACAGTTCACTTAACACAGTGGCACATAATAAACACTATGCTAGTAAAAAGGATAGGATGCTTTGTTGAATGAAGTTCTTGAGACGGAGAGGATGTGAAGTGGCTCTTATTAGCAACAGCGATCTCGTCCATAGCAACCGAGAAATTCTTGAGAGAGGTCTGTTGGCAGTTATGGAGGGGATAGCAACAAGACCCCTAGCAACAAGGGATTATGTGATAACGACTATACATCATTAATGTCAAGATGTGTCAAGTGTGGTGATGATGAGCCATCTCTCCCCAGGAGATGCACTATGAAGTGTAACCTATTGTGATGACTTAACCCTTTGACCAACGACATCTGATTGGTAAAGGTCCTGTGACCATCAACTTTCGATGTAAACAACTACATTTTCATATATTTTCCTTTTTCTCTTTTGAGTCTACTTCTAAGATGAATCAGGGGTGAAAGTAAGGCGGTACGGTCCGGTACAGCGTCCCGGCAAAATAAATAATTGGGGTACGCCGTACCGGTAAAACATGAGCCTATCACAATAATTTAAACAAAATGTCAAGAAGACTGTAGGCTATTACACCACTTTCTATCATTACCGCATGTCAGAGGCATGACAAATGAGAGAATGGACTTGAAAACGGGTGGTATAGCCTACGCTCCAAAATGCGATGTGGTTCGACGAGAATACTGACATTTTGCCAAGGCAGAGATGAGCAGCCGACACTGAGACGTGCGCGGACAGCAGTGGACGCATAAAATCTGGCCTGATGACAATCACCAAATCACTTTTTGGTGTTTTGTGTAACAGATGTCTCTTTCCATTCGCCACTGTTTGTAGGCTGGAAATACACTACATGGCCAAAAGGATGTGGACACCTGCTCGTCGAACATCTACTTCCAAAATCATGGGCATTAATATGGAGTTGGTCCCCCCTTTGCTACTATAACAGCCTCCACTCTTCTGGGAAGGCGTTCCACTAGATGTTGGAACATTGCTGCGGAGACTTGCTTCCATTCAGCCCCAAGAGCATTAGTGAGGTCAGGCACTGATGTTGGGCGATTAGGCCTAGCTCGCAGTCAGCGTTCCAATTAATCCCAAAGGTGTTCGATGGGGTTGAGGTCTGGGCTCTGTGCAGGCCAGTCAAGTTCTTCCACACTGATCTCGACAAACCATTTCTGTATAGACCTCGCTTTGTGCACGGGGGCATTGTCATGCTGAAACAGAAAAGGGCCATCCCCAAACTGTTGCCACAAAGTTGGAAGCACAGAATTGTCTAGAATGTCATTGTATGCTGTAGCGTTAAGATTTCCCTTCACTGGAACTAAGGGGCCTAGCCCGAACCATGAAAAACAGCCCCAGACCATTATTCCTCCTCCACCAAACTTTACAGTTGGCACTATGCATTCGGACAGATAGCGTTCTCCTGGCATCCGCCAAACCCAGATTCGTCCATCGAACTGCCAGATGGTGAAGCGTGATTCATCACTCCAGAGAACGCGTTTCCACTGCTCCAGAGTCCAATGGCGTTGAGCTTTACACCACTCCAGCCGACGCTTGGCATTGCGCATAGTGATCTTAGGCTCAGCCATGGAAACCCATTTCATGAAGCTCCTGACGAACAGTTCTTGTGCTGACGTTGCTTCCAGAGGCAGTTTGAAACTCGGTAGTGAGCAGTGGTGTAAATTACTTAAGTAAAAATACTTTAAAGTACTACTTAAGTCGTTTTTTGGGCTATCTGTACTTCACTTTACTATTTATATTTTTGACAACTTTTACTTTTACTTCACTACATTCCTAAAGAAACTAATGTACTTTTTACTCCATACATTTTCCCTGACACTCAAAAGTACTTGTTACATTTCGAATGCTTAGCAGGACAGGAAAATGGTCTAATTCACACACTTATCAAGAGAACATCCCTGGTCATCCCTACTGCCTCTGATCTGGTGGACTCACTAAACAAAAATGCTTCATTTGTAAATTATGTCTATGTATTGGAGTGTGCCCCTGGCTATCCGTAAATTTAAAAAACAAGAAAATGGTGGCGTCTGGTTTGCTTAATATAAAGAATGTGAAATGATTTCAACTTTTACTTTTGATACTTTAGTATATTTTAGCAATTACATTTACATTTGATACTTAAGTATATTTAAAACCAATTACTTTTAGACTTTTACTCAAGTAGTATTTTGCTGGGTGACTTTCACTTTTACTTGAGTCATTTTCTATTAAGTTATCTTTACTTTTACTCAAGTATGACAATTGGGTACTTTTTCCACCACTGGTAGTGAGTGTTGCAACCAAGGACAGACTATTTTTACGCACTACGCGCTTCAGCACTCGGCGGTCCCGTTCTGTGAGCTTGTGTGGCCTACCACTTCGCGGCTGAGCCATGTTGCTCTTAGACGTTTCCACTTCACAATAACAGAACTGTTGACCGGGGCAGCTCTAGCAGGGCAGAAATTTGATGAACTGATTTGTTGGAAAGGTGGCATCCTATGACAGTGCCACGTTGAAAGTCAATGAGCTCTTCAGTAAGGGCCATTCTACTGACAATGTTTGTCTATGGAAATTGCATGGCGGTGTGCTCGATTTTATACACCTGTCAGCAACGGGTGTGGCTGAAATATTCGATCCACTAATTTCATACTTTTGGCCATGTAGTGTATGTTGCGAGTGAATTAACATGCACGGGTAGCCTAGTAAAGGAGCCCTTTGAAGTGATTGTTTGACAATCAGATGAAAATCTATGCCACAATAAAAGGTAATAGATTTTAAAAGTTAAATGCCAAATCTTTATGACTAGGCCCACAGAGATCATTTTGAATTCATAGGGAATCTTTATGACTAGACCCACAGAGATCCTATTGAATTCATTCACCAGTACCCCCCTGTATATATAGCCTCCCTACTGTTATTTTATTTTACTTCTGCTCTTTTTTTTCTCAACACTTTTTTTGTTGTTGTTTTATTTTTACTTTTTTTGTTAAAAATAAATGCACTGTTGGTTAAGGGCTGTAAGTAAGCATTTCACTGTAATGTCTGCACCTGTTGTATTCGGCGCATGTGACCAATACAATTTGATTTGATTTGATTTGATTTCTATATGTAATTCTATGATTAGGCCTATAAAATGGCGGCTTCAGAACATCTAGAGCTCACTCCTTCTCCAGGACTATATGTAATTAATAATAAATACCACTCTACAAGAAAATCTAAATAGAATCAATTTTATGTACTTCTTCATTATTAATACATTACTACAAGAAAAGTAAAAAAAGATGGCCTAAATGTGTTGGCTCAGTGCTGTCAAAAGAAAAGACCCCAACTGTTAGATTGTTCATGTCTCTCAGAGCAAAGCAGGACAATGAAGGAATGGGTCAGGAAACAAAACAAGAGATAAAAAGACACTACTGTACAAAATAAAGATTAAAGCTGGTAGTGCTCCCACTATGTTTGTGTCCTATCAGTCTGACCACGGCAGCTGAGGGTTCTCCTATATTCAGGGGTTCCCAAACTTTTTCACTCAGGCCCCCCTTCCAGCATTGGGGAACATCCCGCGCCCCTCCTGTGTGTGTGCGTGTCACGTCTATTTCTATGGGCACAAGCACTGTTCATGACACAAACTGTTCACACTCCTCTTGTTGGTGGAGAGAACATTTTGCAGGTTTAAATCTTATTCCATGCAATTCTACACATTTTGTCATGGGGTGCAGAGAAAATGTTGCCGTTTTAAAGCTAATTTTCTTGCAATTCTTTACATTTTGCCATGTCTAATGTGTATTCATGTGATACACATTAGACATGGCAACATTACAACATTACAACAACATCTATGGGCTAAAATATCTAGCTAAAAAACATTAGCTAACATGGGCTAGTTGATCTATACATTTCTGACAAGTTATAAATAGCTCTCTAAAGTATGCAATGACTGACATGACAAGAGGAAAACTGATGATGCACTATCCAATTTTGATATTGCACCTTGTGCATTCTACTATTACAACTTTCAAAAGTAAGTTGAAAGCCAGACTGAGTTCCGACCCCTCACGCCCCACAGTTTGGGAACCACTGCTGTATACTGAATGAACAGATGGCTAGGTTCACTCTTCATTGACTTATTCACTATGGGAAACACTGAGTGCTTGATCGGAGTTCACTGAGGACTCATTTCAAATTCATCTCACATTATATTTGTCCTCTAATACCTGGATTTTCCATATGCTTCTCTGTCATCATATGATTCGTAAAGAGTTGATTTAATAATAGAACAGGCCTACCCTTTCTCCAAGCTGTGTTGAGCTGCCGTGGTTTGACTCTTTCTGACTGAAACATCCATCATAAACAATCCTGGGAGACAAAGTCACCCTTACAATGTTCGTAGCATAAGTCAGTGGCTCCTACAGCCATCCGGCATGCTGTCATTTAACTCTGAGGTGCTTCATTAACCAAACACTGTTTGTGACTGATTGGTAACCTTTGTGGGTATTTGTTTGTGTTAACTGTAAGACTGCCAACAATGGGTGATTCCTCATGAAACTAGAACAAAAAGGACCATGAATTGTCGGAATTTCATGACATTTTATCCATAGAAGGGTCCTTTGGAGGAAGGATTGTTGGCATACTGTATATTTGACATTTACATCTTAAAGAATAATTGAGAAATAATTAATTGAAGTTGGATTAATTGAAGACTACAATGTTTCATCTGTAGATGCTGGGTCATTCCACGAAATGAGTGCCTTTTGCGTCCCTTTGATATTTTAAGTAGACATTGTGCACCAATATTGAATTTTAAAATCCTGTTATATTCAATTGAAGTGCCTTTTAATAT